GGCCGATCGTGCGAGGGTGCTGAGTACTATTCCGCGGCTGCGAGGACAAGCAACAGCCCGAAGATTCTCCCAGCAAAGGGCAAGATGCACATCGAGGTGCAGGTGGCGCTCAACTTCGTGATATCGTACCTCTACAACAAACTGCCGCGAAGGCGGGTGAACATCTTCGGCGAGGAGCTCGAGAAGGCGCTCAAGGACAAGTTCAAGGGGCACTGGTACCCGGAGAAACCTTTCAAGGGATCGGCGTTCAGATGCTTGAAGACGGGCGACCCGGTCGACCCGGTGTTGGAGAAGGCGGCGAAGGAGAGCGGCGTGCCGATCCAGGACATCTTGGAGAACCTTCCAGCGGAGTTGGCCGTGTGGGTCGACCCCGGTGAGGTGAGCTACCGCATCGGCGAGATGAACGCGGTCAAGATCCTCTACTCGGAGACGGGGGACCCGCACGACGAGAGCTCGGCCGACCGGGAGGTGACCAAGACGTTCAACCCCGAGGCCCAGTGCTTCAGGCCCATCGAGGCCGTGGGCACGTCGCTGGGCGGGCTCAGCCTTAGCCCCAAGTCCACGTCCCCGTTCCCGAGCTCGTTGGGCAGCAACGCGAGCAACGGGTCGTCCAACAACCAGCAGAGCGGCCACGGATCCGGCTCCTCGTCGGCGGCCTCGCCGACGCCCACCACCCCCTCGTTCAAGGGCTCGCCCAGCCCCGTTCCGGCGTTCATCCCGCGTACCACGGCGCCGCTCACATTCACCACGGCCACCTTCGCGCAGACCAAGTTCGGAAGCACCAAGTTGAAGACGAGCAGCAAACGAGCGAACAGGTTGGTGGACAGTCTGCTTTTCTAGACATGTTTTTCCGAAGAGAGAGAAGGTAATGTAACGAAGGCGGGAGAATGGATGAATTTTATCGTGTACAACGCGTTAAGTATTCGCTCACGCGGTATTAATCCATTAAGGGCCAGTTTATTTTCAGATTAAATTATTGAACTCTGCTTTTTAACATTGCGACAGTACGAAAGAGGGATTCGCTTGTAATATTCTTTTCCTCGTTCATTCTTTTCTTTCTTTCTTTCTTTCTTTCTTTTTTGTGTCTTTGATCTTGTACAGTGAGCTTTTGCATCGTATATCGTATTACCGCTCGGGTCCTTAATGAGTTAAAATCGTGAAAATTTTCGAAAGGACGAAAGTTTGGTTACAACCACAAGTCAAACTTGTTTAACACGGGATGGTCTCCGAGACACGCACGAGTTACCTTTCACCCTCCGAATCCCCTAGATACGATTTCCATCCGTCGATGAACTTGCCAAGCCTAGCCTCGC